GAACAGCTCTGCCAGCTCCAGGGGATCTCTGCACCGTTTCTCGTTCTGGGATTGCTCTGTGCTGAGCAGCTGCAGATGTTTCACCCTGAGCAGCCTGACCTAGCTTTGAAAACGGAGCTGACTTTGAGCAGGGCATTTGGACCAGATGGCTCCAGAGGTTCCTTCCAACATAAATTACTTTACGAGCTCTTCTTTCCAACACTCCTTTGGGGAGTTGGCTTTGGGGCCAGCCTGCGCGAGGCCAGTTTGCGCTTCTGTGTACACATAACCTGGATGTGTCCTAAGAAACATTTAAAACCGGTGTTCACGTTGCTCTGAGCCTGCGGGAACAGAACACGGGGTTTTCTGTCCGGGTCAGTAACAACCAGAAGTCACAACCTCCCGGTGGCTCTTCCTCCGCCCGAGTGCAACGGACTGGCAGCGTCCCTCTGTGTCTCAGCAGACAGGAGGGTTTCTGAGTCTTTACTGCGGCGTTTCGCAGGCTTCCAACTACCCGAGGAAGGAGCCCGACCCACCTCACCCTTGCTGGAGCTGACAGCTCCAAAGCACGGTTCTGAGTCACTGAGAGGAGCTGCGCGCAGGAGCCCTCCTCCTCCCGCCCGACTGACTCATCAGCCGCTTGCATTCGCTGCTCCCGCCGGGAAGCCAACTGCTTTTATGACAATTAAACTAATCCTAACAAGAGGATTGTGAAAAATTAATTAAGCTCTGAACTGTACCTGGGCAGCGAACTTCCGCGGTGTGAACTGACACACACGCATGGCAATCTATAGCTGCAGTCAGCTTCCCTCGGTTCCTTGGTGCCGATGCTGACTCCTAGCAGGGATAAAGTCCTGAAATTTCCCACAGAATATTCTAATCCTAGTTTGTCCTGCTTAACTATATACTGTTCTGTGACAGGTTTTTCTGCAGAAATACAATTTCGTACTGAGAAATATGTCTGCACTTCACAATCTCATCACTGTTGGTTTTTTGAAGTAAAAATCTCACGCATTTAAGTGGTTAGCATGTTGGATTACTGTAATCTTTGTAATTGCTGAATATGCCTGTTGGTCTGACTGGGACGAACTGAGCAGCTTAAAAATTATTTTTACCATAGTTATATTTTACTGTAAATAGTACTTTCATCATCTACGATATAAAGCCAAAAGGCATGATTTGTGACTGATCCCTTCCACGACTTGGAGCAAGTCACTTTACCTTTCAGTATCGGTTTCTCAAGATTCAGAGAGGGAGAAATGATGCCTGTCTTTCCGAGTAGCTTTACTGGTTTGTGTACAGAAAAAAACCCGTTATACAAGAGCTCTCTGATGTTAACCAGTAGTAGTTTAAAAATTTCTGCTAGGACCAACCTGTTCCAAGACAAAAAGTTGAAATTTGTGTGTGTATATCTGCTCTCAAAAGTTCATCTGTAAAAAATAAAGGAATGGCCTTCGAGTTACAAATTGCTTAAAAACATTGCTTAAGCTGCGGGCGTGGGGCTTCCTTTACAGTCTCTTCAGAAATCTCTCTTAAGTGTTAATCTGTCCTCCAACAC